GTGTAGGCTGAAGAACAGCTTGTGCTAAGGCTGGGAGATGAGATTGATTTGAATATTCATTGTGCTGAAAGGTTATTATGGTTGGGCTGGCTTAGCTGGGAAATGAAGAAGTACAGGAGTTGAGGCTGGAAAGGATTTGAAGGACCTTGTTTGTCTTCCATGCTAATGCACTTAGAATTGAGCCTGAGAGGCGGGGAGGGTGCTGTTAAAATATATTAGTCAAAGGAGTGTGCATTTGCATTGAGAACAGTTATTTTGGGAACTGTGGAAAAAAGATACTGGAGCTAGGATGGAGAAATATTGAAGATGGAAGTAGGAAGCCAGTTACCAGAAGGAGGAGGCCTAGCTGTAGCTCAAGGGTGAAAGGATGTGTGTCTCATTCACTCATTGAGCATGTACTGGATATAGGAACTATTCCAGAGGTTGAGCCTACCAAGAATTCTCCATGACTAAGAGGAAGGAAGAATCCAGCATGATCCCTAGGCCCAAGTCTGGTGACTGATAGGTAATACAAAACACTGGGGAGGTAAGGATTTGGAAGTGTAACCAGCTGTAGTTTTCAATGTAGGTGAACTTGAAAGAGCGCAGGAATGCTCCTGTATGCTGGTAGGTCTTGGAAGGTGAGAAAGTAGGTTGCTTCCTTTGCGTTTCATTTCCTGTAGGGCTTCTCTCATTTGTTTAGGGACCCAGATCTTTGACCCTTGCATTCCTTTAGGCCTTAAAAGTCAGTTTACTTAAGTTAATTATTTGGGCCCTTTGTCATCTCACTTAAGCCCTGACTTTCAGTGTACTTAAGGTGTGCACTCTCTGCTTAACTTCTGTCTCTGGGCCTCTGAGAGGGGTTGAGTAGGTTTTGGACATGTTGCCTAGTGAAGTTGCCTTAGTGTTATGCAACAGATCGTTGCCCAAGATCTACACATTAGGAAAAAGTAGGGGGCCTAGTTCAGTAAAAGAAAACGTACACAGGTAGTCAAAACCCTGGGAAAGCTGGATGTGATGGGTATGCCCATAATCCCAGCACTCAGGAGGCTGAGGTAGGATTGCCACAAGTTCAAGGCCAGTGTCAGCCATAGTGAGTTCAAACCAGGGAAAGAAGACTACTTGGTCAGAGGGTGTGACTGGGCAGCCCTTAGGAACACACATTACATACGAGCTAAGGAACAGATTTCAGGAAAGCAAGCTGGTGGGAGGTAGGGGTGGAAAGAAGGAGGAAATTCCTCACCAAGAGCAACCAGCCATGGAGGCAAAGGAACAAGAGCAAGCAAGACAGGAAGAGGAGCTGCCTGCTGCTTCTGGAACTGGGGAGATGTCCGGCCAGAGCAGGAGCCACGCACATTGGTTCAGGCAACAGCTGGAGTGGTGAAGTAATGGGGAAGGGGTGAAGGCCGGGTGCAAAAATTTAAGGACTGGGGTGAGTTGCTGGCAAAGAAATGCATATAGCTCTTACCTTAGCATGCGAGGAAGGAGGAGAGGCTAATGGGATTTTTTAAAGCTGATCAATACTCAAGAATTTCTAAGACATTTTAGAAATGCCTCTCAAATGGAATAAGGCGATGTGGAGAGTGATCATCAGCTTTCGAAAGTGCTTGAGATGGGTAGGTGGGTGGCAGCGGAAGAGGAAGCCAGCTTTCAGGTGAAAGGACCCATTTCTGAGTAGGAAGTGGGAGGAAAGCGGTGTGGACAGTCAGCCTCAGGGAAGCTTGTAGGTGGAAGTGTGGAAACGTGTGCTTCTCTAAGGACTCAATTTAAATTAAGTTGGGAGAGGACTTTTTGGAGCATGTAGAGTAAGTGGTGTAGGGAGAGAGGTTTAAGAGTTGTTAAAAAGGAGAGAAAATTTAAACAGAACTCGTGAAAAGATAAAGAAAAAATCAAGTCTGGGTAGGAACTATGACAGTCTTCTGTAGTTCGATAGCAGCTACATGAATTTTATTAGGAATCTGTAAGAGTGATTACTCTTCCGCCCATGCATTTGTTGGTACACTTCCACCCTTGTCCTCTGTGAACTACTTGTCATTCACCATAAGGAAATTATAGGCTCCTCCTAAAGGTAATGCTGACATTTTTGACATCACTAGTGTTTTCTATCAAGTAATTCCTAACATGTGTTAGTTGCATGTGTAAAATTTCTGAGCTGGCCTTGCATGAGCTAATGGCAAATTGGGTCAGGCCTCCTTTGCAATGACATGGCCATTGTCAGGACTTTGATAGGACGTGGTTTCTTTGGTGGTCTATTTTCATTGAAGTCATAAGATCCAGTAAAATTGTTGGCATATGATATAATTTTTCCTGTTTTATTGGCTAATTTATCTGTAACTCTGGCATTACTCTTGATTAAATTTTCAACTGTCTGATTTAGATTGCCGTACTCAGGAGTTTGTTATTCATGTTATCTATGTTCTCTTACTGGCTTCGTATATTTTCCATCTTTTCTTCACTTTGGTGTTTCCTGGAAGGCAACAGACAAAAGAGGAAAACCCCAGATTAGATAATTTTAACCTTTACTAGTTTTTTATTCACTTTTGCAGAGGATGGAGTTACAGTTAGCATCTTGAATGTTACTTTGGGGCTACCTTTATTTATTAATTATCATATTCTAATCATAGATCATCCAGGTCAGTTTTTACTTCAAATTTTACTGCCAGCATTTATTCTACTTAAATTGCTTACACTAGGAAATGTTTTTATTAAAAGAAATAATGCAATGAAATTAGTACTTTTCTGTGTTCTTCAGAAAATCTACTTTCTGGATGTAAGTTATAAAATTATGAAGTTTTTGCTAATCACTTAAATTACTTATCCAGAACTTTCTCAGAAATTTTATACAATACCCTAATTTCTCACTTGCATCTTTTAACTAAAGAAAAATTATTAAAATGTTCTTATAATTTTTAAATGACTCATACAAATATCAAACGGACACATGTCAAAATTTCTCTTTCACTCATTAATTAAGAGCAAACCAGCATGAAGGCAAAACCCAATTAAAGGAAAATTGGAAGAGCAGACACATTTATAAGCAAGCAAGAATGTCGAAATGAATTTGCTAGTAAGATGCAAAATTGGTCAATGTGCTCAAGACAGTAAAATCTATGAATTTTTAAATTCTATCTTCCTCTAGATGGAAGGAGCATAAACAAAACTTACTTGCATTTCTTTGGACATGTCATGTACCTTGTCATCAGTTGCCCACAGTTTATAAAGTTGTGAAATAACCCAGTCAGTGGTAGGTATAGATGATCCAAAGGATATGTTAGTGCTTAGCGCTCTGCCAAAGGATAACAGAATCCATAAGAATCATGCTGTTTTCTGACATTTGCCTTTCTTTGTGTCTGTCAGCACCGCTTTGTTCTCGCCTTGTTCGCTATAGTTTCTTCCCCTTAGTGCTTCTTTCTCAGGGGAAATAATTCACAACTCGAAGGTTTTGAAGAATGCAATCAGAAGTCCAGGTTTTGCCTGGGGCTTCCTAATATTTGGGTAGAAATGTTGAGAGCTGGAAAGAGGTGAGCTGTGGATGCCCACAAGCTTGATTCAAGTAGCAGATTCCCTGAAGTATAACCATTGGAAGCAGGGAGCAGAGGCCCAGGTTTTTACGTTAAAATGGTACATTATCTAGTTTTTATGATGGCCCTATGTTTTAGTGATCCGTCGTTGTTTGGCAAGTGCTTGCCTATGTGTTTTCTCCTTTTGATGCTCACCACAGTAGCCAGTGGTCATTTTTGATCCTCTTAGAGAGAAAACCAAAGTGAATCAAAGTGAGTTCTTAAGGTTGCGTACCAAAACGTACTCAGATTTTTGAACACCATCCAGGTTGTAGTCCACTATGTGTTCTTGTATTCAATTTAATAGGTCTTTATTGACTAATTAGAATAGTACCATTTCACGTACTTGATTTTTTTTAAATTCCATCTAATACAGATGGAAGAAACCTTGAGGATGAACTGTTAACAAGCTTGATATTTTATTTATGTTTGTTAGTGCTCTTATTTTTGAGGAAAAAGTCAACTACTCTCTACTTAGGTAAAAATTGATAAATGGGTGAAAATTATGGATGCTACCTTCCATAACCTTATACATTTTAGTTGAATGAAGCATGGTTGCATTCACCTAATTAACGCTTTTGTGCATTGTGGCTATTAGTGCTTTCTACCATCGAGAAGAGTTGAGAGAATGTGCCCTATTTCTGAGCTGTATCTGTTCTTGCTTTCAGCTTGTTTCTTAGCTTTTTGAGTGGTTTGTGGTTTCATAGAAGAATTACCTGTAATGTATATTTGGAAATTGTTATTCATAGATTGAAAGAAATGTGGGGGTTAGAAAATGCCATTCAGTTGTATATAATACCTGATAAGAGTTACATGCAAAATATCTATTGCTGTCTATATTTTACAATGGAAAAGTTGCCACAGAATGTTTTTCTTATTGATATCCTGCAACTTTCCATCCTAGTGAAAAGATAGGATTTGAGTCATCCGATTTACTTTGTATATTAAAGGGCAGTAGAGCCAGCCACATTTTTGGAAATGCTGCACAAGGGCAGAGATAAAATTTGTATCAGTCTAGCACATTCTATTTGGAAGTATATAGAAGTTGAGACTGACTGTAATATTTGATTTGATTTTCTGTTCAAAAGTTTGCCATGATAAGGACAGTATTTTTCTATATACACTACTAAGCTGAAAAGATTTCTTCAGAACTTTACATATGTGCATACTATACCCACATGTTCCAACACAATTGCTAAATTTATTCCCAAGTTGTATGGTAATGATGGTAATGTATATTCTGTGTTATCCTAAATGAGTAAAACAAAGTTATACTGTTGTCTACCAGCTGTGCAAGTTGATAGTAATTTTTTTTTTCTGTTTTTCATTTATCTGGTCTTCCCATTGCTTGTGGATTATAAATGAATACTTTAAGCATTGTTCTGCATCTTAAGAATTTATAACATACCTAATATGTGTGGCATACAATTTTATAACTAAATAAATGTTTTTCTTTTCCAGGTTCAGCTCAACTCCTGTTAAATAAGACCAAATTTGTAGAATACACCATTTGTAATACAACTGTTGTCATCCCGTGCTTTGTTATTAATGTTGGGGCACAAAGCACAAAAGAAATGTATGTAAAGTGGAAGTTTAATGGAACATATATTTTTAACTATGATGGAAATCAAAATAATTCTACTGCAAACCAGAACTTTTCGAGCGCAAAAATTGCAGTCTCTAAATTACTAAAAGGTGACGCCTCTTTGAAGATGAGTAAGGATGACGTTAAAGTAGGAAACTACACGTGCGAGGTGACAGAACTGAGCAGAGAAGGAGAGACGGTTGTGGAAGTGAAGTACCGTGTGGGTAAGTCTGCAGTGTGAATATAGTCTGCCTCTTTTGAAACTCACGTTGGAACTTGATTGCCATGAGGAGAATGTTGGGCAGTGGAGCCTTCACTGTGTGACTAGGTCACTAAGAGGGCTGTGGCCTTCCCTGAGGGAGTGGGTCATGTGGTGAGTAGGGTGTTATAAAGCCAGTCTGCTCCTCATGCTTTTGGTGTCTCACTCATGTTCATTTTCCATTCCATCCTTTCACCGTGTTACGACACAATTCCAGAATCTTTTGGCTCACCAGAAGCGGAGCAAATGCTGGCACTATGCTCTTAAGCAGACCAGTTTTAGAAGCATAAAACAAAATAAAGCTCTTTTCTTCATAAACACACCCAGCCTTGGGTATCCTGTTATAGCTGCAGAAAAGAGTAAGGGAGTAAAACTTCTATAAAAGATTCCTCTTTATTTTTCTTGCTCTGCCTGACCATGTTACATAGTGGGCAAAATAGGACTAAAAATGCTTTTGAGCCTCCAAAACAGGCTATAACAATAAATGTTGATATAATGTTTAATAGCTTTAAGATCATGACCTGTATCTTACGTACTCTTCTAATTGCTGTACAACTCATTTAAGGCTTGTTCATTTAAATATTGTGTGGTTCTCAAACTCTTGGTCTGAGGACTGCAGTGTGCTAATTGAGTGATTAATGCCGGGGTCGGTTATTCTGCGTTTCTGCCTGTTGTCAGCAGAAGTACTTTCTTTAGTGTGATTAATTTCTGAGCTTCTTTCTAATCACTTAACCTATTTTAGTTTGTTTAGTTTTGGTTTGTAATGTACTTTGGCCAGCACTTGGCAAAAATCATCCGTGTCTCCTCTACAAAGGAAAATAAAAAAGAATCAGGAGAATAAAGATCAGGTTATCATGGATGATTCCTGGAGGTTGTCTGTGCTCTATTTTTGCTTTGATGTTCTTTCTCTTGGCCAGAATATGGGGGAACTTGAGATCCAGCTGAGCTGAACTGAGTTCAGGCTTGTTTATAGCATTGTGTGTCTTATTGTTGTTGTTGACTTGGGGTAGCGAGCTGTTCTGTTGTAAACAGACTCCTTTTCTGTTTGTTGCTGTACTGCAGGATTTCATTAACCACACTGAAGGTCATTTGAACTTTCTGTTTTTAATCACCAGGTGTGTTATTGATCTTGGCATTGGCTATACTTTGAGAACCTCTGTTCTAGGTGACATGAAAGTTCAGTTGAATCCAGTAGCTTCCTTCTGTTCTAGCTTTTACAGTTTAAAAATGTATGTTACCAAATTGGGAATGAGTGTTCAGTTTGATGAACTATTTTGACATTGCCTAGGATTTGGCATCAGGAGACCTAAGTTACATAGCAACTTACTATTCATTTATTTGATTTTGAGACGTTACTTCACTGGCTCCAAGTTGCCTTATCCCTGAAGTGGGGATGAAATACATACCCGTTGTCAGGCATTCTATAGAACCTAGTGAACATCAAATGGGAGTCCATATATACGTCTCTGAAAACTGATGCCTGTTACAAATGTTACTTATTTTACCCAGATGTTTATTTTCTGAGGTAACCAGTTGCTAAAATCTGCCAGGATTGTCATGAGTGAGATTTGGGTGCATAGAGGAATGAATGGGTGGATGGCCAGAAATCTCACTTGTTCCATCATTTTACACTGCTATTAACTGGGCTAAGAGCTTTCATTTTAAGCGCACACACTTCTAAGAGGGTTCTACTTAGTCATATGCACTGTGAGTGCCTGGAGGCATCTCATGTAAAGCCCAGTTAGATTTTTCCAAGAGAATATATAGTTTGTGGGACAGAGAAAACCAATCATGAGGAACCGTCATTTTGGATGTAATGTAGGTCAATGAGAAGAAAACTGATAAATGTAAAAGGACGGAAGGTGGGATAAAGATGAAAGTAGCACCAGTTTCTCAGGTGATGGCTATTTATAATTTGTGTGTGATTGCATCATATTCCTTTGTTTTCAAAATACTCTACAGAACTATAAGGTAGTCTTACTGTGGGGCCCTTTAAAGTAGGAAAACATTACTATATTATAGTGAATGTAGAGGATTGCACCAGGGGCTTGATACATTTGGGTTTGCATCCAGATTTTTTTTTTTTTTTTTAATAATTATTGCTTCCCTGGAAGATTCACAAGTAGATTTATATACCCTTCATCCACTGCCCCCCCCCCCCAGTGTTACCATGTCAGATGACTATCACAGAGTTTCAAGATGAAGGTGTCCACAATGATCCAGTGTGTTAGACTAATTCTCTATTTCTCCGTGTGTGTACTTGTGTAGCTACCACTGCACTAGGATACAGACCTATTCCGAGAGTATGAACATCTCTCTTACCCTAACTCTTCATAGTCACCAAACCCTCCTCCAGCTGTTCCTCACCCGGCGAGCACTGATTTGACCTCCTTATCCAAACTTTTGCCATTTCAATAAAATCATATGTACTAAATCATACAATAGGTGACTTTTTTTTTTTTTATTTTAGGGAAGGATCTACAGGTCTCACTACTAGGTCAGACTCATAGTGATCTGCCTGTTTACAGCCTCCCAAGAGCTAGGATTACAGGTGTGCGCTACCATGCCCAGTCTTAGTAGGTGACTTTTTGAGGTGGACTTTTTCATTCAATGCCCGAGTTGTTGAATGTATCAATAGTTAGGTATTTGTTTTTATTCTTTTATTTTTTTAAACTAAGTAATAGTCCATGTCAAGTTTATTACAACCTCTGAAATCATTTATGTGTTGAAAGAGATTGTGGTCATTTCTAGTTTTATACTGTTTACAAATGAAGCTGCTATGAATAGTTGTGTTATTTAGCTATACTTGCCATTTCTCTGGGACCCTTTGATTGGGTTATACCATAAGTGTATGCTTAGTTTTTAAAGAAATTGCAGTGTTTTCCAGAGTGGCTCTTCCATTTTACATTTTGATCGGTAATGTAAAGAGTAATCTCATCTCTATATCCTGCAGTGATCTGGGTGCTACTACCTTGCAACCATCGGGCTGGGGGAACATAGCAGTAAAATATTCCTGTGAATGAAGAGATTAAAGGGGACAGGATTGTTATTGTGGAATTCGTATTTATTGCAATAATGACTTTTGCCCATCATAGTCTTTGGGGATTTAGTCAATAGACACTATGCATGTATTGGTGTTTTTTTTTTTTTTTTTTTTTTTGCATATTTAGGATAAATGACATAGAAAATGCCCAGTAGAAAATTGAATTCCACTTAACAGAATGTAAGTCCTGGTAGCCATTTGTTGTACCCTTCTTTGGAGCACCAGGACTGAATACATGGTAGCATTCCAGGGATTGAACTCAGGCCCTTGGGCTTGCCAGGGAAGCGCTTATTCCACTGAGCCATCTCCCCAGCCCCCAAAAGTTGCATCAGTCTGGCACTATGGTGCACTCCTTTTTTTTTTTTTTTGCGGAACCGGGGATTGAACTCAGATCCTTGCGTTTGCCAGTCAAGCACTTATTCTACTGAGCCATTTCCCCGGCCCATGGTAGTATTCTAACACATGGTTTAATACACCCGTTGTGCACGTTTGTATGACAGCACTATGGAGAAAGTACAGGACTTGAACTTAGAAGAGTGTTTTTCTATACATCATTCTCTAGCTTATGAAAACATAGGTAAGAAAATCTAGCTGGTCCTTAGCATGTTTGTCAGTAAAATGAGGGTACCATCCCTATGACAGGAATGTTGGAGTCATGGGTAAGGTAGCATTTCTCTTAACAAAGATTTACTGAGAAGCTCCTGTGTGTCAAGCACTGTGCTAGGCACTAGATTCACCAGGAAATAAGATATTACCCAAGTCTAAGGAAATGATTGCATTATCAGTAAGAAGATAAAAGTGACCTTGGGTTTATGCCAGATGCTTAATGTCGATCATGTCCTGTGTTCTAGGAGCTCTAGGACACAGGTACAGCTCTTATGATTTAATGCATGGGGAAGCAACAGGAATTGAAGATGATAGTTCAAGGTCAGAGTCCCAGTGGGGGTTTTAACTTAGAACTAAGTTAAAACTATGATAGTGTATAGTCCCTGTTGCATCTTGTAAATGATCGAATACTGACTGTACATAATATTGGTAAAATCAGTTATTATTTCTATACTTAGAGGATTAAAGTTTATACTAAGAGTGTAAGTTGTTAGGATTTTATTTAAAAATAGTTCAAGGGCTGAGAGTGTAGCTCTCTGGAGGAGTATGATGGAGAGGTGTCAGACATGCTTCAGGGGAATGAACGTTAATACCCTCGGATTACCTTTCTTAATCCTGAGGTGAAAAGATGTCTGATGCTCTCTCTTTAGTCCAGTTTGTGGTTATTTTATTTTCATAGCACCACAGGTATTCAGAGCTCAAAGGGATCTTAGAGAAGTATCCTGTGTTGTGCCGTGCTTTAGGAAAGAGTTAACCTTACCTGACAGTACTAACCATAACAAGTCAGCGGTCGCAGAACGGTTTTATCTAAAACATTGTGTTGTGTTTTCCTCCCATATTTCAGTTGATTCTCAAATGTCCACTTAAGTGAGTCTGAGGTATTCCCACCATAGTAAATTAGAAAGATAAGACACTAGTGTCAGTATAAGAGCTCACCCTCAGCAAAGATCTGCAGCAGTGATTTTTAAAACAGAGAGAATTATGGGTATGCTGCCTATTCCCCATATACTTAGCAAAGGGAACATGGGAAACTCTTGCTGTGATAATGAGAAGGGAGACACTGTGAAGCTTGAGTAAATCCCAGGTGATTGTTAAGCTCCACTTGAGTCACTGAGACAGTTATATTTTTTCTGTATAACCTGAGTCTCTTTCATTGAGATGTTCTCTTTTATTTCTCATTCTTTCTCCATAGAATCTTGTAGTCATTGAGTTCTTGCCTAGTCTGTCTTGCTATCTGAAATTAAGTTACTTCTTGATTTGGCCCCGCTTGCTTGGCCATTCTGACATTTAACCTAAAGGATGGCAAGGGAAGACCCTCTTACCTCCCAAAGGTCTGCTGTCAGCTGGCTCCAGTTCTTCTTTCTCTTGAGCCAGGACTTGCTATCCTATAATTTTTCTGTCTCACAGAGTACTGAGTATCTTTTTGCACGTCTGTTCTCTAGTGTAAAGATCGCTGATTTTTTAAACCATTGCAGATGTCGGGTTCCCTGTGTGATCATCTTCCTTTGGAGCACTTCCTGGTGACATCATAAATATGATGAGTAAAACTGAACTCAACACATTATTTGTTGGTCGCCTGCTGCTCCTAAGGATGATTGCTGCCATGCTTTTCTTTTCTAATACAGTTCACATTTGGGAGAGAGGGTTGTTTTGTTAAGACGGGGTCCAGGCTGGCCTCGAACTCATGATGGCTCTGCCTCTCGTGTGCTGTTATTATTGGCTTGCACCCCCACACCCAGCTTGCCATAGCTTTCTGACAGGGCCTACTTCCTTGTGATCCATTGTTCACGTGACTGAAAGATTTTAAATGGGTCAGGACATTTTCCTTCTCCTATTTGAGCCTTCCATTTACTTGTAATTGCTCTTAAAATAGAATCCAGACTCTGCTAACAACCAGCTAAGACCCAACATGATCTTATCTCCAAAAAACCCTTTGGATCTGATTTTCTGTCACTGAATTCTAGCTACAGTGAGCATCATTTAGCTCCTTGAACTTGTTCCTTTGGCATTCTCCTTCCCTGGTTTTATGTGACCATCTAAGTGTCAGTCCCAGGGCTTCTCCCTGGAAGCCTTTGCTTATTGTGCCCAAGGGTCCGCTGTTCCACTCCTCAAGCTGTGGGCCCTTGAATTGTTTCCTGCTGGACCTTCAGCTGCCCCAGGAAGGAATCCCAAGCTAGGGTGAGCTTTTAGTGAATCCGACAAGACTTGACTATACCTCTTTTTCTGTTTGTTTTGTTTAATGTATTTAGTACAGGGTCTCACTATGCAGCTTGGACTCTTAGTGATCCTCCTGATCTCAGCATCCCCAGCTCTGGGATCACAGGTGTGCTCCACCATGTCTCATCTTGGTGGCTGGCTCAGTGCGCCCAGGGGTGGGGCCAGCGCAGCATGTGGTGCTGGGGACTGAGCCCCAGCCTTTGTGCTTGCCTAAGCAGGTGCTTAGTTCTCTGAGCTATCTTACTAGCCCTTGTACCTCTTATTTTTATTAATACATTTCATGTTATTATAGCACAGGCTTGTTTTACAGTGTAACGACAGAAGTCAACAAAAGAATATTTCTTGGTCAGCCCTTTTTTGAATTTAAGATCAGATTTTGGCTATATTTGAAGGTACGTGCAAGTGCAGGGTGCTGAGTTTAATCCCTGGTACCTCAAAAAAAAAACCCAAAAAACAAAACAGAAGGTACCGCTGGCAGGATTTCTCACCTATCCAGATGTAGAATGGAAAAACCAGGAAGTCAACTAGAGCTTTAAGGTTTTTATGTTTTAGAGTCACCAAAAAATGAAATTGCCACTACTGCTGAGTAAAAACTTGCGACGTGAGGTGTGAATATAGTTGAATGAGTTTGGGACAAGAAAATGTAGGATGGTTATAATCTTTAATTCCCTATGCCTGCTTCCTCAGCTATAAGAAGTTAATAATTGAGCAGTAGGAACATAAAGCAAACTAATAGACAGATAGGTAAGGAAAAATAAACTGAGCGAACCTATTAGGTTGTAGAGCTTTACCAAGTCCTTGTGGCAGAGGTGTGGAAACTTAGGCGCAGCACAAACTGTTTTATGGTAGGATTTTTTGCAAAATTGAAGCATATTTTCTTTGGTATGACATTCCGTTTTCCAGTTGGAAATTAAGGTATTTATTCAAAGTACCTAAAAACATCTGTCTTAGAAGAAATCTGTAACCAAGGAGTATCAAGAATTATGTTCCTAGGGCCAGCCAGATAGCTCAGCAGACTAAAGCGCCTGCTTACGCAGACACAGGGACCAGGGTTCAATCTCCTGTATGCTGTGCCAGCCCCACCCCCCGGGACACACTGAGACAGTGATTGAGACTGGGCGATTGAGACTGGGCGTGGTGGCGCAGACCTATAATCCCAGAGCTTGGGAGGCTGAAAACAGGAGGATCTATGAGTCCGATCTAGTGAAACCCAGTAGACCCTGTACTAAATACATTAAAAACAACAACAACAAAAACCAAGAATTATGTTCCAGGCCAGCAAGATAGCTCGCAGGGACCAGGGTTTGATCCCAGAACCATGTGTGGTGCTGACCCTACGCCTGGGCATGCTGAGCTGGCCACCGAGTCCAGGAGTGGGTGCACGCCTGTAATCCCAGCACTGGGGAGGCAGAAAACATGAGGATCACCATGCATCCAAGTTGTCTAGTGAGACCCTGTACCAAATACATTAAAAAAAAAAAAAAAAGAATTATGTGTTCCATGTATTCAATAAACTGTTTTATGACTGTTGTAACCTTCACCTGTGAAAGTGTTAAGCCTCTACTATGGCTAGGGTAATGAGATAGATTCTGCAAAACTAATATCACTAAGATAGAATTTATAATGTTGTTATATTCTGGGGATTACTGTAAGCATTTCATCAGGGTTTAGCATGATAAGCTAATACAAGCAGTGCATGGCTGTCATTAAGGAGTGACCCTGTGAAGTTCCTCACACACTGATTCTGAGGAGCAGAGCAGGAGGGGATTGGAATCCACAGTGCTAATTTCAGAGGAATGCAGTGCTTGTTGAGACAGTACTCAAAAGGGCTCTTCAGACAGCACATCCCCCCTGAAGAGGCAAACTTTGAAATGCTTTCAGTGCATGTACGTGGCTTTGTTAGAGAAGAAAGATCATAGCTAAAATTACAGTTTTAAGGGTTTATGAGATGCAATTGAAATTAATTTTTAAAAAGTTCTCAACAAATCTTATTTGAAGTCTTAATATCTCAATTACTTTTACAGAAGAGGTATAGTTGTATTTCTACCTTATAAGTAACATGTGACCCACTTAATAACAGCTTTCTTAATCACCTAAAGCACTTCATGTTTACATGCAAATGGTTCCTTTTGAAGTCTTAACTATTTAAGAATAAGTCCTATATTCCAGTGTCAGTGTGAGAAGGGTCAGGTCTCCTATATTCTGGTCTCAGTTATAGTTGGTGTCGGGGAGGGGCAGTGGTGCACAGAGCTCTGGGTCAGTCCTTAGAGGAGTACTTAATGGGTAGATGAAGGTAAATTCTAAGATTCTAGACAATTCATAAATATGGGCATCACACACACACACAAACACACACACACACACACATTACAATTAACATCTCCAGAGTGCTTGTTAAGTTGCCAACCTTTGCTCTAAGCCCTTTGCATATATTAGCTTTGCTAACAATCACAACAGTCCTTCACGGGGTAGGTTCTACAGTATACCCATGAAAGGTAGAGGACACTGAAGAACAGAGGTGTTTCTTTTAAAGAGAATTTTAAAAAACGATACAAAATTTGAAAACAAGATGATAGGAAATTAACAAGAGTTGTTACATTGTGTATTGTAATCTGCAAAGTAGCTGCTCATGTTACCAGGTACAGGCATGCAAAATTGATCAACAATGTAACCAGTAACTCTTCCTTTCAATAAACTAATAGAAATTAGTAGTACAATTATCTTAGCTCTCTGATACATTTTTTTTTTCCTTCCTTCTTTTTTCCTAGTGTAAGAAACTGAAAGAATAACTAAGGGCCGGCCAAATAGCTCAGTGGATTAAAATGCCTGGCAGGTGCAGGGGCCAGGGATTCAATCCTGCGCCTGCCATGCTGGCTCCGCCCCTGGGGCGTGCTGAGATGGCAATTGAGACTGGGCGTGGAGGTGCACGCCTGTCATCCCAGCTCTTCGGAGGCTGTAAACAGAATCACGAGTCTGATCTAGTAGTGAGACCCTGAACACCCTTTGGACCCTTCCCTAAAATACATCCAAAAAAAAAAAAAAAAAAAGAGTAACTAAGATCCAAAAGGCACAGTAGATACTGTGCAATGGGAAGAGCAGAGGTGTTTGGGCACTGTCCAGAGCTGCACAGGTCATGAGGTAGATTCTGGGCTTCAAACCCAAGCAATGTGGCCAAGCACTCTGCTTGGAGTCTGTGTGCACTGGCTGCTTCTGGGAAACAGAGCAGAAATGTGGTAAAAGACACTTAAGCACTGTAGTTTTTGTTTCCTCAACAAAATGTATTGTAGAAGATGATTTTATATGTATTATTTGGATTATATATGTGTATATAAATGAAGGCCACTGCTTTAATTTTTTCCTTCAGTCTACATAATAAAAACATAAATTAATGCCATTAACAGGATTTTAAGTGATTATTATAAATACTAATCATGTTTTTTTGTTTTCTTTCTCCTCAGTTTCATGGTTTTCTCCAAATGAAAATATTCTCATTGTTATTTTCCCAATTTTGGCTATACTTCTGTTCTGGGGACAATTTGGTATTTTAAGTAAGTATTTCTCTATTTTATGTATGTTTTAGGAATTAATTGATGCTTCTAGGAGGAGATCATGCTGAAATATTTTGTTTTAAGCTGTGTTGGGAAGTATTGTTGTGATTAATAAAATATAGTTAATAGTCTCCTTAAAATGTAGACTGTCTTCCATAGTTTTCTACATTTACTTTAATGTCTGTGAAGATCCTTTTTTGATTCTCATTGGCTTTTAATCTCTTAAGAATGAGTAGCAGGACCGCTTCTCATAGCAGCTTCAGCTCATGGAGCATTGTCATGGTCAGCATTTACACACGGACCATTTCATTTGGTAAGCAGATGGTCGCAGGCGGCATCATGTGAAGGCAGAACACTGTGTTCTGGCGCATTAGGGTGTTGCCGTCTTCCTTCTCCCAGTGTGGACCCTGTAGACAGGTGTTCACCCTTGGAGAAGCCCCATTTGCACTGTATTTTGTCATCCTCAGTTCTGTATCCCCTAAGGAAGCAGCCACGGGAGAGCTGCTTCTCTGATCTTGTTTTACTGTGATAGGCATGTAACCAGACCTGGGGGGCAAGTCTTGATCACATCAGGCATGCCATCAGTTGTTCAGAATTGTCACTACAAGGTGAATAGGTTGAGTGTGTTGTGGTTAATGTTTATATTCAAACACATTTTCATACCCCGTTAGTGAAGGAGATTTGCTAAAGTAGTGAAGTTCAGTTGTTTCAGTCTATACTTTCAATATGCTAAGATGTATTCCCACTCTTCCTATAGCACCCTGACATAGTTATTGAAAACTAGCAGGTATCTGGTCAAGAAATATATAATGCTGATTTAATTTAGTCTGCAAAAGCAACAGAAAAGCAAAAACTAGTGAAATATTGTAGTAGATCACCTCAGTTTTTCTTTCCTCAGAGTTTAAGCTGTTTGTAGCCTCAGTGATGCATAAAAATGGAAGAGATTATGAAGTATATATTTTAGGAGCTTTTCCCTAATGTATAGTGCTCTGGAAATGCCTAGTGATCTTGTGTCTGAGAGGAAGATAGGGGAACAAAGGGCTGGCTGGCAGTGGCAATTGTCAAGACGTTTTAGAGCTCTTACCTTCAAGACAGTGTCTAGACTTCTTTTGGAAATTACCTTAGAATTTCAGTAAGCCTTTTATTTCAAGAGAAAGAATGTTACAGCATTAAAAACCCACTCTGTCATCACTGTGATGTTAGGGAAAGCTTCAGGTAGTTGGCAGACCCAAGCTTTTAAGAGTTAAGTCACGTGATTTGGCCAGGGAATGGTCTTTTTTTTTAAGATCATAAAATTATTTTGCATTCATGTGATTTGTTAAATGTTGATTAATAAAAGTTTGCTGATTGTGACATTATCATTAGTAAAATTATTTTTAGAGGAACAAAAGAATCTGTTCTCTGTCAGCCTTATTTTTACAAAAAGTTTTACTATTTATTTATAAATTAAAAGGGAGTACATTTGTCTGTATATCCTTGGAGAATTGGGTTTGAGACCTCCACAGAGAGCAAAGGAGTCCATGTTGCTGAATTCCTTCATATCAAATGCACAGTATTTACACAAAACCTATGTTTATCTTCTTGTATACTTTAAGTCAGTTCTAGATTATTTATAGTAACTCATGTGATGCAAACAGCATATAGTTATTGTATTCTATTGTTTCTGGAATAAGAAGAAAAAAGTCTGTAAATATTCAGTTCATGATTTTTAATTTTGACATTTTCAATTCACAGTGGGTTGAATCCGTTATGGAACTCATACATACAGAAGGCTGGCTGTACATAACAATTTTGTGTACTAGGTAGTGAACAGTTTCATTATTTTAGATTTTGAGACAGGGTCTCACTAAATATAAAGCCCAGGATAGGCTCCAACTTGTGGTTTTTCTGCCTCAGCCTCCTAGAGTACTGAGATTTCAAGCATACAGCACCACGCCTAGCTCAAGGTTCGATCCCCGATACCTCATCCCGAGCATGCTGGCCCCCAGACTGGGCATTGTGGTACATGCCTGTAATCGCAGTACTGGGGAGGCAGAGACAGGAGGATCACTATGAGTCTGAGCTGCATAGCGAGCCCCTGTACCAAGTAAATAAATAAATCATTTTTTAAAAAATGAAGTTGTAGGTATTCACATCCAGGTTGTATATTAGTACATCTTCATTTTCCCTGTATCTTCAAAAATCTTGTTATGGCTACCTGTGTTCTGCTTTCATAGATGTATACTACAATTTACTTAACTTTCGTCTTGCTTGATATTAAGGATGTTTCAAATGTTTTGATAATATGAAAGTAACTCTATTGAAGGTGTTTGATCCTACAGATGCAGAGTTAAGGCCCTAGATACCCTTCTTTTTTTTTTTTTTTTTTTTTTTTTCCAGGGATTGAACTCAGGCCCTTGCACTTGCCAGGGAAGTGCTATTCTACTGACCCATCTCCCTGGCCCCCTAGATACCCATTTTTAAAAAGTGTCCCAGAACCTTTCTGTTTGGTACTGCTACTGCAGAAAAGAATGTTTACCTTCCGCCTCACATTTCTGTCATTCTTATTATTCTGAAATCCCTAGTTATATGGGTGAAGACATGTGTTTTAATTTTCATTTCTGTGTTATAGAGGGTAGTCCTTTTTAAAGGCATGGCTCTGTGAACCTAAAGAATTATTGTGGTATTAATTTTTTTTTTATTGTGGTTCATCTTAAGGAAGTGTGTGTGTGTGTGTGTGTGTAAGAGGAACCTCTGTTCATGATTCACCCATATGCTTGCCCCACATTTAAAGGTGTTGCTAACCATAGCTACGTATTTGTGAAGCCCTTCTTCTGTAGGACAGGCACTTTGTAAAATAGTCTGTACCCCAAGTCACATTGGTGTCTTTCAGGAATTCTAGGTGCAGGCAGTGTTGGTTTTCTATTTCATAAATAAGAAACTTAGCCAGGGTGAGCATGGTGACCAGCTATTTTCTGACAATAGGATATGGACGATTATGTTTATCACTACACTGTCCTGCTCCCATCTTGAATTTATTTAAAGAATTTTCTTTCCATGAAAGATGAATCTGTATGTAGTTTAATACCCTGAGTAGATGTAGCTGTTAGTTCCAAAGCAGAGCGTTTGCCAATTTGTTGATTCCTTCTGCCAGTGCCCATTGACAGTCAGGTGCCTGCTGACTGCAGGGCATGGGGCTGAATGCTTGAGATGGGGAAGTGGGCACCTGCGTCTTGCCTCTGGCTTTGGAGCGCCCACCTGCCAGAGCCTTGAGGTGCTGCCTGTGTCTGCCTCCTGTTCCTGATGAGTCTAACTTTTCCTTTGGTGCCTTTGTAGGAGGCTCCCAGCTGTGATGCAAGCCTCCTCCTTTCTCTCCCTTCTGCGTGGCTAGGTTCACCCTCACCTGTTCCTCGGGCTGCATCCCGAGCAGCTCCAGCATGGCCGGCTCAGGTGCCCGCAGCCAGCTGCTGCTTCCACCTCTCCTCGATGGCCTCTTCACGCTTCACTTCTGCTGTGTTCTTGCCTTTCACACCTCTGCTCTCCCATCTTCCTTGCCCGATTTCCTCTTTTGATAATCCATTGTAATATGACGTATGGTTTTGTCACCCAGAGCTGAGGAGTACTGCGACTGCATGCGTACATGTGATGCTGATTGAATAACAGACACAGTGACCAATCACCAGTGGTCTTCAAAAGAAGAGACATGACTGGTCACTAATCATGATACGTACCTGCTGTTTGTGTGAAGAGATAGCAGTGAAGTTTGTACTTTGTGTACTCAGTTCATCTATTGGGTAGCTAAAATTTAAACCATATTTTGGCATTCTTATGTAACTTAACTAAACCATACTCATTGATAGCAGAACCATACAAAGTAAGGACTGCTATAATTTATTTCCAATTATGTATTCTGAGCATCTTTCATTTCCTTTTCTTGTCTCAAGATTATTTCAGAAGGATTTAGGTCACTGCTCATAGGTGTTTGGGTAGGTGTTCCTATGGAAATCATTGGCAAATTTGAGGGAAAAATTGTGCCGCACCGCTTTCTGTTTCAACTTAGTCCTCAAGTGTAGCTTAGTAATGAAAGTAATTAAGCCATGAAAACACATTTAAAAGAAGAAATGGAGCAGAGAATTTCTTCATTGATTAACAAAAATCTTTCCAAAGAAGTGAGGATGTATACAAAATCGCACTAGAAATTTTTATCCTAGGAGGTCAAAGTATCTTTTCCAATAAATGTTACAGTCATTTTGTGACTTGGCTGATAGGCGTTAATAATAGGACTTTGTTACCAAGTTTAATATGAATTCTATTTCATCATCTCGAATTTCCAGTGCTTCCCTTTGGTCCTATCCAATAACGATCACATTCTATTATTAAATCATGTGGTATTTTATTGTAGGAAGAATTGATCAAAAATGCAGCACAGCATCTCAGTCTTGTGTGGAAATACAGTTGCTGCTCCTTTGGCCCTTTCCAAATCAAGATATCCCAACTTCCTGTATGTGCTCTGGCACTGTCACGCCTCTCATGAAAACAGTTATTTAGAACCAGGCAATGGAAATTAGCACATTGGACATCTTTTTTATTTATATTCAAGATACTTGGCCACACGAAGTGTGAACACTTCTGTTTCTAGGCCCTATAAACAGAGTGTGATATTTAGCTCATAATAATTTTGGTATCATTTTGTCAGAGTAAGTTCAGTAGCACATGGAGTTTTACAAATCCTTTGTGTCTTATTCCTAATGTGTTACGCACTTCCTCTCACTGGTAAGCGTCTGTCACAGATCACTTGGCCAGGGACTGTACATGCTATGTGTTTGAGCAAGTGTTGAAGTTTGAATTTTGTTAGGCAGACTGTGTGTGAGCCTAGATGGTTGTACAGAAGCCAATCATGAAAATGTAGCATAATGTATTTTATGTTACCTCTACATAGATGTGATATTTGACTAGATCTCATCAGCCACAACATACAGTCTATCATCTTATATGTGTTCTGTGTCAGTCACAAAGAGAACAGAGTCCTGTCTATAGTTTAGTGCTTCCTTTCTTTGGGTGGCCTAAAGGGGCATATCCTTGTTTCCTTCATGTAGATTTGAAAGAAGTTTTTAGACTAACAGGGAACTGCATCTTTTATTTAACCGGGAGAGATCTGGAACTGGGAGAGATCTGGAAATCCCACCTCCCTTCAGAAGGATTTTTTTTTGCTCCGAATGACCTCAGGGCAGTTTTGGCCTGCTTGAGTCGTGGGGATCAAACCACAGCAACCTGAGCCTGACTGCCTTCTTGAAGCAGCCACTTAAAGGACTGAGCTAAGGGGCAGACCCCCTCCCCCCACCTCCCTTCAGAACCCTGACCCTAACACACCAACTCGTCCACTTACACGTAAAGGTCTTGAGACAGGCCTTCTGTTTGCCTTTTTGTACCTTGTTAGCACTTAGTGGTTGCCACGTGGGTTCATAGTGGGTAATCTTTATTGAATAAAGCAATCTACTGGTCTCTTAATTTAGACCAAAGGGTCTAATACATTGTAGATGCCCAGTAAATATTTATAACAACAAAGAAATGAACTAACCTAACATGTTTTTTTCTGAGATGTAGCTTACTAAATTTATTTCATATTCTCTGATATTATATTGAAATTGGATAGCATGTATGTATTCTGAAATAAAAGAAGCAGTATTTTAGAATTCTTAATTTGTTGATTAAAAATGTTATATTACCTCTCCTGATGTTTGGTCCATCTGTCTGTCTGTCTGTCTTTCTTTTTTTTTTTTCCTTTTTTTTGTGGAACTGGGGATTGAACTCAGGCCCATGTGCTTGCCAGGCAAGTGTTTATTCTGCTGAACTATTTCCCCAGCCCCCCCTTTTATGTTTGGTATTCTTGATTAGATTCCAAGGTTATTAAGTTTTTTGTGATAAATATAAATACTACTATTTCTCATGTATTTCATTTTATATACTGGTTACTACTATAGTTTTGGCTAAGAGAAATCTTCAAGAGTATGCAGATTTTTAAGAATTACATAAACATCTTGCTTGTCAGCCAGAAAAATCATACTAGGAAGTTCAATAAGAGTACATTGTTAAGCATACCTTAAGTTATTACTCGGATTTGTTTTCTTTGTCACATGTAATGATTTGCTAAATAAGGATAAACCCACTTAAAACACAGGAAACAAAAATCGGTAATAAAAGGCCCTTGAGATTACTAGATTCCTTTGCACTGCATGTAGCTGAGCAAATTGACAGCTGGAACTGGGGAGAAGACACCGGCCCCACGCTTGCCGTGGGACCTGCTACATGGTGGCCACTATGAGCACAGAAGATGAGCCTTGATGAAGGCTGTGTGAAGAAAGCATGGGGGCCATGCTTTCATGCCTATCAGTACTTAAGCAGACTGCACAATGTATTTGTTAGAAAATGCTCCTTCATGTAAGGAAAAGTTCAGGGCGGCCTTGAGAACAAATAGAACCAGAGCTCCTTGCAATATACATCACATTTACTCTCAACTGTCGAATTACACACTGCCACAGTGGGATTTTATTCTTGTTGTTGTTGTTGCTTTTTTTCCTGTGCCTAAGGAATTTGAATTTATGAGATTCTAACTCTTACTATTAAGAATGACCTAAGTCTTTTTGCACGAAAGTAGACTATGTACAAAATCCTTAGTGCCTGGTCTTATCATCTCTTTTCCATGTCAAATTAGATCGGCAAGAGTCTCCTAGGAATGTTGAGTTGGTGAAACGGTTTACTTAAAACTGCTTTATTTGCTCTGCTTTAAAGCTCTATTTAGTACACAGTGTATAGCACTTGGGGTTAAAAAGACGTTAAGTCCATTTCTGCATCTATTCCTGTTATGACCTATGCACTGAATTTCATTCTAGGTGTGATTTGAGCCTAGAAAATAGTGGAACTGCAAAAATTCTGTGCCTCATAAGATAGGGATATGAGTGAGAAGTAGTCATGCAGGTTCCAGGGCTGGATTCAGGTAACAGATCAAGTGAAACTTCATGGCAGTGCTTTCTACTACTGTGGATTTCTCTTCTCTGGTCCATGGGGATTTCTGCTACTCAACTTCACACATAATTGTTGCTTAGGCTTCTGTCTTCCCCTACAGTGATAAGAGTTGAGGTTATTCCTCCAGCATAGATAGATAGAGATTAAAAAAATCTTCAAGTGCCAGCAGTATACCTTTAGTTTTTGTGATCATTTGAGTCATTGATGACTTGTTGTCTTTATTATGTTTATATTAGTTCATCATTGTACTGAAGGAAAATTAAATGGAAACCATAATACTTAAAATATTTTCCCCTTCACTGTGACTACCCAGTGATTACTTACCTAGAGACTCCACATCTGGATGCGGCACAGCAGAATTGCAATCACTCATGCTCTTTACCCCTGCTACCCACTCAGATTTTAGGTTACCTTTAATAATCTGGTGAAACATGAATGAAAAAAAGGTCAGTAGGTTGTAAAGCAAAAATATTAGGCCTATTCCTGGGAGTAGTCTTTCAGTGAGGGCAGTGGGTATTTGACAATAAATTTAACATCAGATATAATAACAAGTTCGATGAATCCTTTTGAGTCTTTGCAGGTTATGCCTATTAAAGTATTTTACTTGAAAATTGTAAACATTTTTCTCCATAAGGATTTCACAGGAGTGTAATTTGCTCAATATTTTTTCTTTTTCAAAACAAAATATCCAGATTTCCAGATGTTTAATCTTACGTGAGGTGGAACTTAGTTCTCTTTTTCTTTCAATATTGGTCATAAACCAGTTATTTTCCATCAGCATTAATGTGCATTAGTGTTATATTGTCTGAGGTGATTTTGCTGATCTGGGGACATGGGTAGTCTCTAAAGATACATAGAGTGACATAACTCTGGGCCATGACTGGCATCTCATAATGCAGAATCTGGGGATTCTGCTTAATATTCCTTAATGCACAGAGCTGCCCACACAAAACCTTACCTTGCCTAACAGGTTCACAATGCTTCATCTGAGAGAGCTAGATGTATGTACTGATATCTTCACACGTGAAAGCACATGGGGGACAAAGTGTCTCCTGCATATTCAGCATCCACATTTCTACTGATGGAAGCCTATTTATCCATTGGCTTACGGGAAACATGTGAAGTGACTGGTAATGTGAAGTTGTTTCTCAGACGTTACTCAGAGCTGTGAGCTTGGAGTTTGTTTCATGTAATTCTATGTTTTTTTTTTTAAAGCACTTAAATATAAATCCAATTGTACAAGTATGAAAATCATTCTTCTACTTATTGCTGGACTGCTGCTCACTATAATTGTCATCGTTGGAGCCATTCTTTTCATTCCAGGTAAGATATACAAGCGCTATGGGAAATGCCGCGTTGGCATAAAGAGGATGTTCCGTGTTGAGGGAGGCATGGTAGTGGTTTCCTAGGTAGGTCTGTTTAGCAGATTATGGCAGAGTAGTTTCGTAGAACAGAATTCTCCTCCTGCTCTGGGGGCCCTAAGTCTGAAATCAGGGTATCAACAGATCCACATTGCCTCTCAAGGCCCTAGGGGAGAATCCATTCCTTTTTCTTCTGGCCTCTAGTATTTGCCAGCTCGCTCCCCTTGCCATTCCTTAGCTTGTGCCAACATTGCTCCACTCTGCCCCTGTGGCCATACTGCCACTTCCTGACCTCGTGTCTTCTCGTTGGTGTCTCCCTGACTCTTGCACAAGAGCACTTGCCATTGGAATGAGGGCTCACCCATGTGATCTGGGATAAACTCCTCCCAGGCTTTTAATGTAACTCTTTTGCAATGCAAGGCAGTATTTATAAGTTCTAGGGAACGGGGGTTGGAAATAGCATTAGGACCACCATTAGGCCACTGCGGTAGCAGACTTCATCAGCTGTGATGTGGAACCAGCACTTACTTCTGGGGAATGGCCGTGGAGGTGGAAAGTAAGGAACATATGGAGAAGAGATGCAGAGGCGGGTTGGGGCTCACAGAATAGTGGACTGTGGGGCACCAGTGTGGTTTCTGTGGGAGAGTGCTCTGTAGTTGTGATGTCGAGGATATTTGTGTCTTCAGCTGGGAGGTGCATGGGGGAGAGCAGTGCCGAAGACCACACTGGGTTGGGCTTTGGGCCACTGAATAGAGTACGCAAGGGGAATCTTGGTAAATGATGACTGCAGAGTTTCTCAGCTGGGATTCTGTGAGGCTGTTAAGGAGAAGGCCATGCCAGCATACTGTTAAGATTTGTGTGCTTCATTTGGTCTTCATGCATTAATTTTGGGGAAACATTTTTAAACCATTCACAGTTCATGAATGGTGATGAGATTCAAATAAATATTTAACTTCAAAAATAGGAAGTGCATCGGAAAATATTTAAAATATTTTTATTTATTTACAGGAGAATATTCCATAAAGAATTCTTTTGGACTTGGTTTCATTGTAATTTCTACAGGAATATTAATATTACTTCAGTACAATGTCTTTATGACAGGTGGGTATTCAGCATAATTTTGGTAACCTCTTTCATTAAAAGACAGCACTTTGGATAAAAACACTTATGTTTTTTAATAACTGAATAAAAGTTGGTTTATTAAAAGATTTTCCATTATATTCTTAGTAGCATACAGAACATTTTAAGGTTACCTTAAATCTTTGGGATAGTTATGTGAAAATTGATTTTTATTTTTATTGTTTATTTTTAATTTGTTATGTATTGGTACAGTCTCACAAAGCAGCTCAGATTCATAGTGATTCTCCTGTTTCCACCTCCCCAGTGCTGGGATTACAGGTGTGTGTCACCACGCCCAGTCTCAGTGGCCAGCTCAGCACACCCAGAGGACTGAACCCCAGTCCCTGCGCATTTCTAAGCAGGCACTTAATTCGCTGAGCTATCTTGCCCGCCCTTGAAAATCGATTTTAATATTTGATAAGAAAATATATTTATCACAAACAGTGAAACAATTATTTTAGTCATTGACAGATCTCGACACTGTGGTTTTAAGGTAACACGTCTAGTCTAACTGATCAGTATCATTTTCCCTACATTGTAACAGCAAATCCCTAACATATATTTGTTGTTGTTACCTAAGAGTCATAGTTGACTCTAGGTCTTAGATGCTCTCTGGCTTGCTGTACTTTGGAAAGTTATTAATTCATTATAAAGTCGTAGAAACTCCAGATGCACAACGTAGTGGTCATGGTGTTCGTAGTCTCATATGCCCTACAGCTCTCTCCCCTGGAGCAGTTTGGTGTGCATGTGGAGAACCTGCCAGCAATAGCCATTCGGACTGTAGAGCACACAAGTCTGGTCAAAGCAGCACTGCTGTGAGGTCTGGGTAAAGACTACTATTCCTGTTTAAATTACTGATAATAAAAGGCTGCTGAGTCTGAGTCTGGAGCTGACGGGTGTGTAGAGGATAGAGATGATGGGAGAAGCATCTACTGTATCATCTGAGCAGGAGCCACAGGCTCAGTCTTTGGCCTAAGGACCTCTTGACTGTGCCGAGTCCAGCCATAGTCACCAGTCCTCTCAACACACTTCTGTTTTGCCCTTCTTCCTCTCAGCTTTCGGGATGACCTCATTCACGATTGCCATACTGATCACGCAGGTGCTGGGCTATGTCCTCGCCGTGGTTGGACTTTGTCTCTGTGTCACAGGTAGAAATCACATCCTCTCTGCTCTGTTTGAGTTTCTCTAAGGAAGAGCTCTTCTTTTTCGTCTTTGTTGTTTTTTTTTAAAATAGCCCTTTTAAGGTTGCAGTTTTAGGTCACAGCAATATCGAGTGGGGAGTATGGAGAATTTCCATGTGTGCTCACCCGCTTCACATACCCTGCACTGCCCCAGGGTCCCTCTGCATCCCATCCGGGCTGCACGTTTGTCACAGTCACGAGCCAGCCTTGCTGCATCACTAAATGACTCAAGACCCATCGCTTCCATTCTGCCCAGTCTTGGTGTTGTGCACTGGGTGGCGATGACAGATGTGCAGCAGTGTGCATCCCCCACTGTGGTGTTGCACAGAACACTGGCACTGCCTGAAAGGCCTCTGTGCATCCCTTCCTCCCACTAACCCCCTGGCAGCATGATTTTTTCACTAGCTCCAGTTTTGTACTTTGCAGGCTGTGTTAGAGTCAAAATCTCTCAGTATATAATCTTTTCCATGTGGGCTTCTTTTACTTAGAGTTATGCATCTAAGTTTCCTTCAGTCTTTTCAAAGCTTGACATTTTATTACTGTTTCAGTGCTGAGTAGCACCCTGTTGTGTAGATATACCGTAGCTCGTGTGTACATTCACCTATTGAGGGACAGTATGGTGGCTTTCTGTCTTTTGTGATTATGAATAAAGTGGCTTCTAACATCCTTGTGACTCCTGTTTTTGCACAGACATAAATTTTCAACTCCATGTGGATAAGTACCAAGGAGTGCTGTTTCTGAGTTGTATGTTAAGGCATGCTTAGTTTTGTAATAAACTGCCAAACTCACTGGTTCTATTGCTAAATTACAACCAGTGAAGGAAAGTTCCTGTTTCTCTACATACTTGCCATCATTTGGTATTATGAGCTTATTTTATTTTAGTTCTCATTTTTCTCGCAATGAGAATAGTATTTTCCACATTGCTACAAGAATGTTGGTTATATATATATAGTATATGGACTATTTAGACAGCCAAACTATTGTGCCTGTGGTTTTGGAAGAACTTTAAAATAACCGGGCACCAGTATGTTGGAGCCTTAGAATTTATACACTTTTTAAAAAAATTTTATTTGGTTGTTGCAGGGTCTCACTACATGGCTCAGACTTGTGGTGATCCTCTTGCTTTCAGCCTTCCAGCACTAGGATTACAGGTGTGCGCCACTACACCTGGGCTCTGGCCAGCTTAGCCCCAGGGCAGGGCTGGCACAGCATGTGGTGCCGGGGCTCGAACCACGGTCCCTGAGTTTGCTTAAGCTTGCCTAAGCAGGTGCTTTAGTCTGCTGAGCTATCTCACCAGCCCTATGCACTTTTTCATTAGTTTTAATACAATAAAGATTGTGTAATGAAAAAGATGGACTTTTTTCTTATAGTAATTTATATTTTGTTGACAGAGATAATAGTAAGATAATTTTTGTTATCCATACATACATAATTTTTGTTTTTTGATTTTTGTATGTGTGTGTTTTAGGGAAGGGTCTACAGGGTGTTCAGGGTCTCATTACTAGATCAGACTTGTAGTGATCTGCCTCTTTATAGCCTGCCAAGAGCTGGGATTACAGGAGCATGCCAGTCTTGCTTATTGATTGTTAAAACAAGAATTACTCTCCTTAAAGCTTTATTAGTTACTGTCAATTCCTTTTGAAATTTTAGTCATTGTATAGGGATTTCTAATACCAGATTTCATTTGTTTTTACAGCATGCGTACCAGGGCATGGTCCTCTTCTGATTTCAGGTTTGGGTATCATAGCTCTAGCAGAATTACTTGGACTAGTTTATATGAAATTTGTGGGTAAGTCAATCTTATTTTTGTAAGCCTATGCCAGGAATTTTAGATGTAAACAGAAAATGTTTTTAATCCAAAGAAATGTACTGATAACTGCCAAAGTGAGAAAAATACAATTGGAATGAGGACAATTACTGTTTCCCACCTGCTTCCCCATGGCTGCTGATGGACAGTCATGTGTGTGCCACCAGTGGTTCACAGCTGCCCACAAAGAGATACAGGAGCTGTGGTCCTCTCGTGAAGGTGTTATATAGGGTTTCAATATATACGAGGTATAAGAATTATTGAAAAGATTGGATTATAAATTACTTTAAATGAAAGTGACTTTTTAATGTAGACTTTTTATATTGAGTAAAGGGAAAGATTTTTTTTTTTTTTTTTGGTGGAACCAGGGATTGAACTCACGCCCTTGCGCTTGCCAGGGAAGCGCTTATTCCATTGAGCCATCTCCCCGGCCCATAGAAAAGATGTTTTAAAGGATCCATTTGAATTGATAGAGATTCTTAATGGTTCTGTTATTTCTGTAATAAGACTCTTTGGTGTAGACCTATTTGCCACTTGAAGTCTTCTTGTATGCATGGATAGTCCAGAGAAAAGGGAAATCGACGATCCAACTCTGCACCTTGTGCTGACTTAAAGAGCTGTGTGGCTTCCAGCGCACAACTTGAGCACGTTTGTTTGTAGATTTAGGGTTTGACTACTTTTAAAATCATTTCTTAGTAAGTATGGAATTAGCTTTTTTGTTTTAACCTTGTTATTTATATTGCCAGTTTTCAAATAGCAAATTCTGCATAAATCTTTGTTTTAACTATATAGAGAGGAAAAGATGCTTTTACTAGTTCCCAAAACTAGTGTGTTGCCTTACTCATGCTATAGATATGCCCTACAGTCTGATTTATAGTGGTTGCCCCATGATAAAGAAAAACTCTTCACTACCTAACAAAATAAGTTATAAATTCATGGAAAAAAAAAAAAATCAGGGCTTCACTTTAGTTTGGGTGGACTTTATGTTTCTAAAAATTAATTCAAAACTTGAATGGTTATAGTCAAATTTACTATATGCCTTGTGTATTAATTTAAAGAAATTTTACTTTTATTTCTGAACTTCAGCTCATGGTGACAGAGCTTGATTCTATTATATTTTCTCCATTCTGCTTTAACTAGTGCTTCTTAGATATAAAATTGAAATAGCCAAAATGTGCCTATCTTTAGCTTATGTATATAAGCTACCTTAGTTGTTTCTCAATGAAATTTCCTACTTTATTCCACATAAGTCCAGGAAACACCATTGAGATATCTTAAGCAGCCTGGCATCCGTGTAGTAGCTGGAGGGAGCGCCCTCAGTGTTCATAGTCTTATATTTGTTAGTCCCACTTTCCAGTCACCAGGGGTTTGGCTCTTAAAGATGACACTGCTGAGTCTGCTGTCCTGCATGTGAGCCTAAGAGCAGGGTGTGAGCTGCACGGTCATGTAACACTGGTGAAGTGACGCTAGCTGTCTGCGGTAGTGAGCGCTGCAGTTTTACTTCTGGCTACCTGGATTGTCTCCCTTTCCTTGTCGTGCCTCCCCTTGCGTTCCACATCTGATAGAGAATGGTGCTCACAGTACAGCTGCCCCAGGCCAGCGACGCTGTCTGCAGTGGGAGGAGGCCCTGCCTAGGCGCCCCCGCACGCACTGCCTTTCCCCAGAGAGGCCTGTGAAGCCACACAGATGCAGAGGTTAAAATTACGGGGAAGGGGAAATCCCTGCAAGTTCCTCACATTTTTAAAATCATATTTTGATGTATAAATATGCTGTAGTTAAGAATTTGATTCAATTTGATTAACATTTTGAAAATATCCTAAATTAACTTTTCAAATCAACTTGTCCAATGCCAGAGTGCAGAAAGATACCTTCGGTCAGTTGAAAGGCAAGAAGAGAAAAGGTACAGGAAAGTTGCTCTTTAGATAATGTGGTAGACTAGGAAAATTCATGTGATTTGCTCTTATGCTCTGACTTTGTAAATCTGAATATGTGTAACATTAAGGTTGCAAATTTGAGCACTTTTAGCAGGAAGTAAAAGTTGTGTTCAAAAATAATTTTTCTAATTGCAAGTATAGTGTTTTAGAAATTAATATATTGATTTAAATGCAATAAAATCCTCAAATAGTTTTTTAAAAAACCCAAACTGTCTTCAAGCATGAATTAATGTCTCTATAAGAATTCTAACTTTTGCATCCTTATTATTTCTAAGTTTAAATTTGTAGCCTTAATTGTTAAGAGTGAGATTTTGACTTTCTTTTGTAATTGTATTGGATTTAAGTATTTTAAAAGTGCATTTTAATTTTTTAAAAGTAAGACAGGAGCTGGAAAAATAACATTGCAAACAGGATATAAAGGATAGATACAGATGGGGAAGAGAGAGTTAATTGTCAGTTCTAAATTCTGATAAACACATGAATGAGCTCAAAAATATAACTTAATGTACTATCTCTGCTCCTTCATAGTACCAATCAAAATTTTAGATAGCTATTTGATTCTTTTTTCTTTTACAGTGTTTTATCTATAGGACACTTTTCTTGAAGTCAGTTGTATATACATGTAACACTCTCAGTGGTCCAAATGAAATTCTGTTATTCTGCCTTTTTAATCTGGAAGACTGTTAAATGGGTTGTACTCCAACCACTTATTCCTTTGAAAAGAAGTTGCCTTTATATTTGGATATAAAGAACAAACCACTCTCCCAAGTACCTCCCTAGCGGAGATTGCCAGGTCACCAGAGCAGCTACTAACTGGGTCACACAAAGGGCAGTAGGTAGCTTAGCAATTGGAAGGCTCCCCACATTGTCTAGGGAACGAGTCATCACTCTGTACCAACAGGTAGTTGTTGCCTTTCTGTCATACACCCTCAGCTGAGTTCTCTGCTTTTGATTCTGTACCTGTTAGCCAGCTTTCTCAAGCTTTCTGTGCCCTATTTTTTTGTCCTGTTCATGTCTGTCTTCTCATAGCCTTTCTTGCCTATGACGCTAAGCTTTGAGCTGCTTCTTGCTGTTCCTGTTTCACCTTCCCTTCCCATCACCCGCTTTCTAGGCTTTATATTTCTCTTCTTGCAATTCCAGTGGAGTAAGAAACTTACCTGGCCAGTCCATAGCCATTTTCCTGTTTTTATGAACCCAACTGGCCTAGCCCATAGATGGGCTGAGCTTCGGTCAGAGTCTACCCTGCTTCCTTCCTATCAGCCCTAGAAGCTTAATGGCCTGGGGCGGAATGAGTGGTGATGAGAAAATAGCAGGGACCCGGAAAGCAGCCCTGTGCTGGTCTCAGTCTGCTAATAAGCTGATCCAGTACTGTCACCCAGGCCAGGTTACAGTGGAATCCTAGAAATCTTACCATATGTTCTTTTGCTATTACTGAGTTCAACTTGCATGACTTATAAATGATTCTGTTTTGCTTCCATCTCTTGTTTAGCTGTATTATTTTTTCTCCTTTCGCTATTTTTATGTTTGTATTTTTTTAGTTTTTTTTTTTTTTTTTTTTTATGAGAAGTTAGGATTCCTTGAACCAAGAGAAGCAGATGGGATGGAGTAGGAAATTGTATATAGGAAAAGAATATTAGAATAATACAGTGGGATAACGTTCTTACTGAGTGACTCAAAAAATGTTGCTGTGTTTTCATGTCTGTAGGACTCGGATTATGTGTTAAGGACTAACTCTAGCTGCTTGGGGGCCTCCTCCCTTGGTTTTTATAGGAATGTTGTCTCTTCCTCATATTGTTCATATTTCTTCATTAACCTAGTCAGAAACAGTGTAAAGAAAAACTCAGAAAACTAAGGAGGTAATAATACATAGAAGAGGGCTTGGTTGGCTGGAACTGGCTGCCTAGAATACCTTTCTAAAACCAGAGGACTCTGGTGTTTTGTTTCGTTTATTATTTAGAGCTTTAAAAACTGGAAAGATGGGGTGAAGGCTGGGCTACAAGAAACAAGAGCAGGGAGTTAAGGAGAGTGAAGGAGATGGGAGGTTAAGTGTTGTCACATTTGTCTGCATCCTGGCTGGTAGGATGGGAAGAGATGGAGCGGGTGATAGGTGGTAGCATTTTCCTGAGTGGCTGGTTGGGAGGAGAGATGGCCTGCACAAAAGGGAGAATGTGTATTTATTTTCAGATATGGGTTGGTTGCTCACCTATTTTTCTTCCATAAATGCATATAATCAAGAATGTTCTGTGTTTTTTAAATAGCCTAGCAAGATTGGAACTCCTTCATTGGAGTTTCTAGCACTGTTTTCATTTTAGCCCTGAACATTTAATGGTAAAATTAATTGTTTTGTGGCCTTGATTTATTTCATTTATTAAATTTATATTTTTATTTTATCAGCTTCCAATCAGCGGACTATACAACCTCCTAGGGTAAGTTAAATTTTATTAAATAAATTTGGAATGATCAGTTGATGGATTAGAATGATAATTAGAATATTGAACTATTCTGCTTAATGTTTGGTTTCATGCAAATTAAATAATATTGAAGTCATTTCATGACCTTTGGATGAATGGGTCCAATTCTATTTTCAAATTTAGGTTTGATCATATGAGTTTCAATGGGATGGAATAACTGGTCCCTTAAGGTTACACTGACTTCTTAGACCTATTGTACAAGTGGAAAACTTATGAGTGGGGATGGTAGTTACTAGCTCTTCCTTCAAAAGAAAGCTGATTTCAGTATACTGCCTCCTCTCTTGGACGCATTCTTGTGAATATACTGAATGGCAATTTCAGACTTAAAATGAGCAAGATAGATTTATAGTAAGTTGACTTTCTTAAAATTAGAGCCTACAAAATAATTATAAATATTGCTGGGAAAATATCTTTTCTGAGTTATTATTCACCCCTGCCCTATTTTATAAATTTTTTTCTCTCTGGAAACTGTACTGTAGGTCTTCTGTACTTTAGAAACCTTACAAACTCTGTGAAAAATTACCAAGAAAGGAGCAAACTTTGAAGGGAATAAACAAGGAAAAAATATCTGTAGACTCATATATATATACTCATCATAGCAATGGGCTCAAGAGCTCTTTTGTGGAAATCAGATCTGGGGAGGACTATATTATACTCAGCTTCCCATGAAAGACGGATGATAGATCTGTCTGGAATCCCCAAGAGAGTGTCCTGTCTGTGGCAGAAAGGGCACCTAAGTCTGAGGGCAATTTGGGGCTCAGTATGTTGGTGTCACCCTAGCCATTTATTTTGAAAAGATTGATGCCATAGCTACATTGGTTACAGTTGGTCAGCACTTTCCAAAGTACCTCTTAGAGATAACCCAACCATTGGACCTTAACATCCTAGCAGTTTTCTTCCCTGGTGCTGAATTCAAGTGGTATCTCTTGAAAGTAATTTTGTTTCACTCCCTTGTCTTGTTAACTGTATTGTTTATTCTAACTATATTGTTTACTCTGTTGCTCTTTGCATGTTTTCTTTTAATAGTTTTGTAGGAAGTTAGATTTCCTGAATTGAGTAAAGTGGGTGGGCTTGGAAATTCTGCATAGAAAAAAGTTATTAAGAGAATGATGTTATTAAACTATTAACTATGCTTGGTAAGCTTTGCTTTAGCATTTGTTGCTTTGTTTTGTTTTTAGTCTGCTGGATTCACTGCTTACCTACTTTAGATATTAGAATAAGTTTTACTATAAAAGACATGAAATAAGTTATATTTTATGTAAATATATTTTAAATATTTTCCAGAAAGCTGTAGAGGAACCCCTTAATGGTATGTGTGTTCTTCTTGACCCTTTACCAGATCACAGTTTGAATGGGCCTCAGGGAAGTTCGATTATCTATCCACATCTTGGGGAAAATCTAGTAGTGGGTTTCTTTTTCCTCTTGCCTTCATTTTTAATTTTTTTTAATTCATCAAGAAGTAGGAATTTTCTTAATATCTTATATTTGGGGCAATGTAGTATCTTGTATCCCTGATTAGTTATGCTCCCCAGCCAACTGGTGCTGGCCAGGGGGAGCATAGCACCCGACTAGAGAGGACTCTTGGTTACTGCCATTTGATTTGCAAATCTCAGGAAGACAGCGGCTGTCAGTTGGAGTGAGACCAAGCTGTTTCACTTCCTTTCTCTATAAGTCTCGCTCTATATTCCCAGCTGAATCGCTTTCCTCTGTGGATGCTAACGAAGGGTGCGAGCCAGAGATGCTTTTGCAATAAAATGATAGCCTTAAATGGCTGTGTATTTGTAGAGCAGTCTGCATGATTTTGCTACATATTTGTTTCTTTTTTAATTATTTCTGGTTGTGAAACCTTACTAACTACTTCCTTGGCTTGTTACTAATCCTTAGCATTTAAAGAATCAAAAGGAATGATGAATGAGGGTAAGTATGAGATACACCTATAATTGTAGCTTAGTTGAAATGCAGGCATGGAAAAGAAAGCCAAAAACTTCTTGAAAGCTTGACCTTTTTAAAAAAGAACCCTGTCAAATGATAAAGGTTTATATCTTTATATACACAAATTTAGTCTACTTTGCTAAAAACTCTAAAACTGTACCTATAGAAGTTGTAGCACTTTCTGTAAAACATTTCTCGGGTTAGGCACCTGTTGCCAGGAACATGAAGCGCTTTCCGTGAGGCCCGCTAGCCATCGGGCACCATGCTTTGCCATTTGACAGTTTCTTTTGCTCGTGTTGATGATTTTGTTGCCTTTTACTCAAGGGGGTTTAGTATCTCTGCTTTGCTTAGTAAGGACTTGGTTCTAACCTCAGGAAAGGGATAGAGAGAGATGTTTCATCATGCTAGCTTTCGCCTCTTTTTTTCCATTTCTGGCCTAATAATAATTGTGTATCTTAGGGACTTGGGAGATGGCTCAGTGGAGGAATAAGCTCTTCCCCGGCAAGCGCAAGGGTCTGAGTTCAATCCCTGGTTCTGGAAAAAAAAAAAAAAAAAAAAAAAAATGTATATCTTGAAAGCATATATTTGTTACTTCTCAAATGTCTGCAGTATTGACTCCTATTTCATTTTTTACTTTATCCTACTATGGTATTTCTTTAGTTCCATTGGCATTTAATGGCTATTTTTTTAAAAAAACATTGATTCTTATTTGCAGTGCTCATGTAACTATATATTCAAGTTTTATCACAAAGCAAGATAACCAAATCCTTCCTGGCGTGGACTTGGCATGTGTGCGTGATGCAGCTTAATTCTTTCTGCATCCCTTCTCCCTCCTCCTCTCTACCATCCATCTCTCCATCCCCCTGCCATTTGAGAAAGATCTAAATTTCTTCATCCCTTTATTATTTGAATCATCCCTTGCTGATGTAAGTAGTTTGCTTTTTAATTAACCGTTTTAAAGTCTGTGACTTACCTGCTCACTTCTGTGATACAGTGTAGTGTTTAACACAGGAGTCTTTGTTCTCCTGAGTACAATTAATTTTTGCATAAGGTTAAAAATGTTCTGATCATATGTGAACCAAATTTGAAAGAATGTTTAGCTTGAGTTCACCAAAGAGCAATAGAATGATTCCACTTTTTCAGATTTGTGTCCCAGTCTTTAAACACACATTTTGTTATACAAAGCCCTGCCTCTTTAAAACAAAAATGGCATCTGGAATCATGGCACGTAGTGGTTTAGCCATGTTCAGATTGCCTTGACCTGTTTTCACTTTCTTTGTTTCTTCATTCTTCTACTTGGCTGTCATTTTTCTATGGTTGAATGTGGAAACTAAACTTTTCTCTATTGTCAGCAAGCCAGTATGTAAGACTCTTGAGTGTTTCTTCCTTTGTTAATTTCCCTGAAGATGTGATTTTTTTCCGAACCACTGTAGCAAATGTTGTAAAGCAGCTTTTACCTTGAAATTTTGTTCATGACACATGGAGTCTGTGATGACTTGAAAATCCTCTTATTTGTTCTAGTACTTAGTGATCAGAGTTTATTTTTTAAATGTCTGTCTGATGGGCTCTTAGCTGACACTTGCCTAATGCTTCTAATGTACCTGCCTTATTAATGGATGAGGTACGGGTACATGCCCCAGGCATTTCCTCTGTGACCTACATGTACCCCTCATGGGTGATTCCATTTCAGCAAATTGTATAGATCTAAGTGAATGATAGAATATTTCCTATGGTGAATATGTTTTGCTTTGAAAAATCACTGTCACATGGCTTTTCTGCAGCTTACCCAATGAAAGATCAGCATACTATTGATGTTTAGTTGCCTGGCTTTTGTCTCTAACCTTTGCCAATCGATAGGTAGATAGATAGTTTTAGATACTAGATGGCTAAAATAATTTCAGATTTTTCTAAGTACTTCTTAATGTAAAGAAAGTAGGCATGAATAGTGACAACAATATCCATTGTTTATTTTTTCAGAATAATTGAAGCAAAATGATGAACTCTGATTTGGAGAGTCATAAGACGTGAAGGAATACACTTGTGTTTAAGCACCATGGCCTTTGATGAATCACTGGTGGGAAGAAGAAGAAAAAAAGTAACTGGTTTTCATCTGTGGGAGAGAAGTCATTGACCCATAAATGATTATTCCAGTTTTTATTCAAAGCAGCTGTAATTTAGTTAATAAAAGCAGTATGACCTGTGTTGTATGCCCAATTGAGATAGTTTTCTGTTGTTATTTTTATTCAATTAGGGACAACAGTAGGGGGGCAACTTCCAAGAATGATACCTTTCAGATCCTAGGACCTCATAACTCTAGGTTTATATGGGATCTGAGTGAGAATTCCCTAGCACTAACCTGGTGACTACTCAGAGATACCTGTGAAAAACAGTGGCTTCCATCAAGCATTAGTAAACTCATGTTCTAGCAGCTCTAGCAGTCACACTGTTGGCTGAGTAATGTGTCTGCTACTTGTGGATCAGTGGGATGGGAATCTGAGTAGACAGGAATCCAGTTGGGAACACCTTGTGTGTCACTGTGTGTGCTGCGATAGTGATGGAGATAGCGGTCTTCATTCTTGGTTGTTGCCATCCGCACATCCCCCTTCAGCATACAGTGTGAGAGATCTTTCCCAGATTTGAGGTACTTTTATGAATGGATGTGTTTTTCTTTTGTTCTCGCTACCCTTTGTACCTCGTCTTGTCCCCATGTTAATGTGCTTCTGCTGTACAAGATGTAGTACCTTTTGTCCTCTTTGAACATGGTCCAATGACATGGTAGATCGTTGCAGAAAGGAGCCAGATTTATTCTCAGAGCACTGTGTTCACACCTTTCAGCAAAAAATAGCTATGGTTATAACATATGTGTTCCCTTCCTCTGGTTTGAAGGCAAAAATCTACAGTGTTTCTTCACTTCTTTTCTGATTGGAGGCATGAAAAAGCAAGACTGAAATCGGAACTCTGAGTCTCCTGCATGGCAACATAATGTGTGTCTCCATCAGGCCCCGAGGCCAGCCCTCCTGCGAGGGAGCACTTTTACTCCTGTTGTGTCTCTGTTGCATGATGAACAGTCATCACCTTCCTCCTGTAGTCCTGCCTCCTCTTCCTCTGCCCTAAGATTGAAAAGTAAAACACTGCCACATTTCCTACCCCTCCGCCCCATTCCCTTAGAAGAAAACTAACATTCTGACAGTTGTGACCGCCTGGAGTACTTTTAGATTAATAGCACTCGTTTTTTTTTACCTCGTTTGTGGGTGTGTGTTTGTATGTGCACACATATAAGGTAGGCACACGCCTCTTCTGTAAGGATGAAAGTGTGGTACCTACAGGAGAGCAAATGCTTAACTTCGTACTTTTAGTAAAAACATTTAAGAAAACAAAGGTCTTTATTGGGTGGAATTATATTTGATGCAAATATTTGATCACTTAAAACTTTAAAAACATCTAGGTAATTTGCAAAGCTTTTTGACTGCTCACCAGTACCCTTTAAAATACTAGTAATCATTCCTGTTTGTGTAATAAGACATTCCTATTTGTAGTGGCATTACTAATAGTTGTTTCTTAGTCCACTAAATGTTTCCATGTGCCTCTTTTATGAGAACTTTATTGTAATATTTCATGTTGGGACCAAGTGGTTTGCCCATGGTATAACTACATGTATGACCTGCTAAGGCCGCTCAGAAACTGAACACACTATCAAAACAGATCTTCTGGGAGAAAAATATGCATATGTGTTTTTTCTCTTTTTCAGTTGTATAACTGTCCAAAATACTAGCATATGGAGAGAGAGCTGTATTCCTTTATACAAATCTGATGGCTCCTGCTGCTCTTTTTTCTTCTGAAAATATTTACACTTTGCTAATATTGTTTGTTACTTTACAAATCAGTTTTGGTGAAAGAAGGGGACAAAGCAGATGGACTTGAAAATGATCCAAATTTCTATTCTCTATTAAGGTATGAAAATCTTTATAGTCCAATTTTTTATGAACTAAAATTTTACCTTTTAACATGCTGTTAGTGCTCTCTTATTTGGGGTATAACCCCTGGGGTGACCATCTGTTGTTTTTCTCTTTAATGCTGCCTGCCTTTTAAGGCCTTCACTGCCCTACTTGGTGCCACCAGAGGCAGCAAGGGACATGGCAAAGGAATCAGCTCTCTTCCTCCTCATCGTCAGCTTTTCGGGATAGGGGACCGCAGAGTCTTCCACCCTGGGCATCACTGAGCCAGTCCATTCTCCTTCACTCAGGCTCCACATTGTTCCAAGTTTCTGCCACATCAAATGAAACTGCTAGCAGTGTTTTGAGCATTGTGTCTCTTTTGCTCTATGATACACGCTTTTTATTCTACCCCCAATTTTGACATCATCTCTATTGAATTGCATTTATTGTATGTTGTCGGAGTGACACCATTCCCTATTTTCTGCACCAGTCTTTTTGGAGCTTTTGGCCAAATTACTTCTTTTTCTCCTTCACTATTCCTGCTCTAGCCCTTTGTCCACCTCAGGATGTCCTTTGCAGTCTGTCCCCGTCCGTCTCGCAGCCTCTTTCGTCTCTTCCGTCCCTTCTCTGGCGTTGATGTACCGCTGCATAACCCTATCCGGGTTTTGTATGGTTCTCACTTGATTTAAAGTTGCCTCCCTAGCAGGATCCCCTCTTTTTTCCTTTCTGTCTTCCTGCAGTATTTCACATACATCAGATCCTCAGTACACAAGTTTGATGATTGAGATCTGCCTGTATTTATATTTCTATTTTTAATAGGGTGAGCTGAAGAGTTTTCTTTTTTGACAAATTTCTCACGCTCTGAAAACCATAAATGTAATGATTTTCCACCTGGAAATTCCATGTCCATACTGTTATGTTCCTGAGAGTGTCAGAATTTAAATAATGGGGCTAGGATGCTGTAATCAGTGTAGTAAGTGACCAAGCAAATTATGATTTGAGTTCATAAAGCTCAAAAGTGATAAGTTTACTCCTCCATCTTATTAATAAAAAGTTTAAAATGTATATCATTTCTAGATTTTTCCTGCAGTGGGTATTTAGAAGTGGGATTTATAGTGTATGTTTGGAAATATATAACCCTCTACTTACCTGTTGTTGGAAACTGGAGAAATGATTGTCTGACAACACTTCATTGTATTTTATCTGATGAGGATTTATTTAGAAATAGTTTATATGGGTATACACATTCAAAATCACTAACTGCCACTGGGGATTTAAGTCATTTTCAGTAGCTAATAGGGATAATCCAAGTTAATTTTGAAGAGATGAGCAGTGACCAGGAAGTTTTCTTGCTTTCAACTTGATAGCTTTCAATGATAGCTTGTCATTGTGGTAATTGAATGCTAACTTTTTCCCTAAGTTGGTTTGCGGCGGGGAAGAAAAGGAAAGCATTTGCGATGAGCTTCTCTGTAAGACAGCCTCGGTACGATCTTTAAGTGTTGTAAGCATGATTGGTAAAAAAAGAAAAATTTTTGTTTTTATTAAAAAGAGCATTCATTACAACAAAGCCACTGTTAAGAGTGAGATCCCATGTCAGAAATACCCATTAACCACTCCCCATAAGGACTCCAGTGTTGCTGTGTGCAGGGGGCTCTCACGGGGGCTCTTCTGCATAGCACTTAAAGGTGTACTATTTGTCAGTAGCCATTTTTTTTGCAGTGCTTTAAAGACCAAAGTTGTTTTTCAGCTGTGTTACCGTTAAAGGGTTTTTTTTTTTATATGTATTAAATCAATTTATCACTGTTTGAAGCTTTGAATATCTGCAATCTTTGCGAAGGTACTTTTTTTATTTAAAAAACATAACTTTGTAAATACTACCCTGTAATATTATATATACTTAATAAAACATTTTAAGCTATTTTGTCAGGCTATTCTGTTGCTGCAACAGCAGACCACAAGCACATTTCCAAGACATTTAATTTATTAATATATTTTCAGGTTTATTAATGTAGTTTATGTAACAGTTATGACAAAATATTAGGTATAAATTCTTTTTAAAAACATAATTTATACATATTTAACCAGAGTAAAGTTTTAATTAGAAGTTTTAAACAAGTCTAGTGTGTTTCATAATCATCCGTTAATTAAATTTTCCCGTGGTGTTGTGAAGACGTCACATGAGAAAGCCTTGCCAGTCATGGCCCTGTCAGGGCTGGCCGGCCCCTCGCTGCCCTCAGCTGTGGTCCTAGGTTGTAGAGTAAGGGAAGCCTCTGCCAAGACCACAGCATGTGCTGCTGTATTTTCTTTGGGCATCAGAAAGGACTGTTTCAACTGCAAGTGAAGGAAAAGCCAAATCCAAGAACAGCTGGGGTCTGTGACAGTGCCACCTGAAAGTTAAGATCCTCAGAGGCACAAGTGCATTCTTCACACCAGATCGTAAAGACCCAGTGTCTTGCCAGGCCAGTATTGAGCTTTTCTCCCCTCTGTGTGGCATTCCTCCTGAGTTCTGAGCCCAGCATGACGTCCAGCGGCTGAGGCACTTTAAGACCCACTGCCTGGGCTTCCGAAGTGTGGAGAGGACAAAAGAGAATGATCGTCTTTTTCAGTCCTGGCCACTGCAGCTTCCACCTCGGGCATCTCCGTGGCTCACATGCTGTTCTAAGACAGGGAGGCCCAGCGTCTCTACTTCCGATTGAGCTAGAGCCCCGCCCATTCCCAGCCTGGACGGCGGTTATAGGCTGTGTCTGCAGCACATGAGCTGGGCTGCAGGTGGAAAGAGGAAGGCAGGACTCCTAGAGCCAAAACTGGGGCTAGGTAGTGGGAGATAAAATGTCATTACATGCTGGACACAGGATTTCTTGCCAGAGCTGCATCCCTTCTGGTCTGAACTCTGTGGTTCTGTACTACATGTGTGATTGTAGACCATTTGAATGGAAAATAATATTTGGCAGCAAAGTACCATCTAATTTCCTTACCTCATAGGCAATTTAACTTTTATGCATTTAGGAGGACTTCTTTGCTCTCAGCAGGAATAACTAATGGAGTTCAGAAAGCATTTAATGGCTGCCTCCTGTTCCAAGAGCTGCCTTCTGCTGCACGGAGCTTTCTCACTGTGATTAGAACTCCCACGGAGGAGTAGGCTTCCAAATACAACTGGATTTCACTTTTGTGTGGCACCTGACCTCAAAGGTTTGACAACTTCAGGAGCAGTGGATTACGGTAACATCATCTGGGTAGGACAGGATTTCAACACTAGGTCAGAGGTT